ACATCTACCGTGTCAGAGGAACAGATCCATCTTTGGGTTATTGCTCAAAGGACCCACCTTTGGGTTGTTGCTCAGAGAAAAGGATCCACATTGCAGCAGGGAGGCCCCCGGGAAGACAGGAGAGCCAGGCAGGGGCTTGGCATGGGAGGCAGCTCCCTGCCTGCTCGTGGAAGGCACGAATTGGTACTGAGGGCAGAGGGGCTGTGCTCAGTGCAGCGTGGCCCCCACAGGAGCACCTCTGTGTGCGTCCCCCCCAACCCCCAGAGCTGCCCTTGCTTTGCATAAGGAGTTAAAACCCAATCCTGGCAGAGTCGAGGGGCTGCGGGTGAGACGGGTTCCCTGGGCCCCACCTCGGCAGGCACCTGACATTTTGCTGGGTATGAAGGGGGAGCAGGAGGGTGTCCTGCCCGAGGCACGGTGTGACGCTGGTGAGGAGCAGGGGTTGCTGCCGCCCTGCTTGCTGAGAGTGGAAACATCGGAGACCACGAAGAGCTGCAACTGCCGGAGGAGCAGTTCTGCTGGCGAGCTGCAGGGCTCTCAGAGGACGATCTTGAAGGAGCTGCAAGAGACACGACAGGTCCTCGCTGGGTGACACGCAAGTGGTTTTGTGAGCACGCGGTGCTACAAGGACGCGGTGTTACCCTGTGCAGGAGAGGTCCTCTGCAGAGCCAGCACGGGATGCAGATCTTTCTGCTATTATGCGAGACCCTGTACGGGGTGGCCGTGCCTTACCACCAGCAAGGCCTCTGCCCCAGCACCAGCACGGCAATGGGGCAGCCAAACCTCCCAGACAAGCCCCCCAGGACGAGCTGTGCTGTTGGAGACCACCGCACCTGGCAAAGTCCGGGGAGCGGGAGATGACGTGCTGGAATTCAGAGAGGTTGATGGTGCCGTCTTTGTCGATGTCAGACTCCTCCAGGATCTGAAGGGGAAGGAAAGGCGAGCGGTGAGCTCTGTGTGGCCAGGGCTGCATGGCAGCCATGCCCCCCCACCTGACAGGCCTCACGTTTTGGATGAGCTGCTCCATATCCGCACTGCTCAGCTGGGACTCTTCGTCTTGCCCTGTCAGGCAGTTCACCAGTTTCTCCAGGTCCTTTCTGTCCAGAATCCCATCATCGTCGAAGTCTTTGGAGAGAGGAAAGTTACATTTTGGTGGGGCTGCAGCAGGCCCAGAATCAGAAGCAGCCGTGCTCTGTGCTGGGTGACCCGAGGACACGGCAGGCTCTGTGCCGCACCCCTCGGTGCGCATCATCCCACCAAACCAGCAGTTCCCAGAGGGACTGCCCAAAGCCACCGTCCCCGTGAGCACTGCCAGCCCTCCTGAACACGGATTCAGAAGGTGTGGGGATCCCAGGCCGCAGCACATGCCCCTGGCCTTACCAAAGATGCGGAAGGCGTAGTAGGATTTGACGTCCAACGTGGCGGAGTCGCTGAAGGCGCTCAGCATATCGAGGAAGTCTTCAAAGGACATGCTGTGGTCTCCATTGTCCGAGGTGGAGAACACCCGGCAGATCCGGTGCTGGAA